AGCAATTACAAGTTTTCTCCATAGACAATCCCATAACAAAAATGTGGAATGGGAAAAGCCAGGCATTTCTCAAAATTCACGTCTACCATGTGGCTCAAGCTTACTCCTGGCAGTGTGGCGTTATGCTTAACTTGCCGAAGCTGTGTTGCATATAAATAAAAAATACAAATACAAATACAAATATATATATACACTTATACTTATATATATATAAATATAGCATGTTTAAAATAGTAATAGTGAAATTCTTCTTTCCTCTCCTAGAAATGCTCTGATATGCTTACATTTTAAGAGAGTATAAGTGAAAATTCACAGTAAATACAATAAATAGTATACTAAGGCAACCATTTGCAATTAGGTTTTTAGAGGAAACAATTAGAGAAGAACCATACCGTGTGGAATTGTATTCATAGTCTTGTGCACTAACTCTTTTTGGCCACTTATTTCACTCCGATGGAAGCAGGGCAAATAAATTCCATAAAAATCAGCTAAGTCTACTCTAGAAAATAGAGCACTCCTTTAACCGACAAACCATTAAAATAGTTAAAATGGAAATTAGCTTGCTAAAATCTTTGAAAGCCTTGCTGAATGACCAGAATAATTAGAAAAAGGTTGAAAAAAGCATAATTTAGTTTCAGATTACTATGCTGCTAAACCTAAAGGTTATGATGAATATAAATATTCTCTTAAAAAACTAGGCCGAATAAACTCTTTTTATCGGCTTGCAACAATGCTTTAATGAAAAAAACTTGAATTCATGCTTGCTGGCTTAGAAAAAAATGTAATGCTGTTAGAGATTCTATGATAAGCCATACCTTGCAATTTTTATAGCATAGAATCCGATTAACCAAACCCAGCTCTTTAATCTGATCCTGTAAATCAAAGCCAAACTCCAAGTAATTTTAGCTCATTTTTATATAGAAAATTAAAGTTTATGAATATAGTTTGAAATTTTAAGAAACTCCTACTAATTTCGCTAAATTCACATATTATTTCGAGATCGCTGAAGAAGGAAGTACCTACAGTCATCTTATGTTTAAGCTTTGCCAACGAACCTGGCTGCTGGGCGGTAACCATCACGTTGTCGTTCTACGTCTTTCGAGATGACTTCAGCCTGCGTCAATTGACGGAAGACATCGACAGCTTTTGCTTTAGTGTCCTCTAGAGTCGCAATCAACTCCCAATTGTCCAAGATGTTACCCGTCTGCGTGGACAACTCGAGTAAAAGCCTGTCTTCCAATTCCTTCAACACTCTTTTATTTTCGCTAGAGGAGATGACGCATGCAGATGTATAGGTGAAGAGCAAACAAAAATAGTACCGAATGCTCTGTGATTCCCATTAAGGTAAAATAAATTTCAATAAATTTCATTTATACTAAACCAAGAAGTCAGTGACCATATAGTAGCTTAAAGCTCAATTGATGAAAGTGAGCTAAACAGCACTTTTTACATTTACGAAGGCTACAAAGTATAGAGACATAAAGTCTT